CGGGGGGGGGGGGGGGGTTGCGGATGGTGAGGGCCACGGAGGCCACCCGAGGAGTCTGGGCATCCTCAGGGAAGGAGGGCAGGGAGGCTATGCTGCTTACTGGTCTCCCAGCTCAGAGCCATCTTCTCAGCTCTGCATTTTGATGCGGGGCTGAGACTATGCAGGTCCCTTTGCCAGCTGGCTCCCTGCTAGGCTCCACCAGCGAGAGGCCTGGAGGAGCTGGCGGCTGGAGGAGGGAGCAGGGCCTGCTCGCCTACTGGTCTTGACAGCACTGCACCCTGAACCAGCCTGCCCGCACCTGGCAGAGGTGGCAGCTCCCACAGGCAGCAGCCTTGCCTCCAGCCCCTCTTGGCCGCAGCCCCTGGCACCCCTCCCTCCCAGCAGGTTCTGGCAACCCCAGCTCTGAGGCTGGGAGCTGCTTCCTGCCTTACTCTCTCTGTGGCCTCAGTTCTCTTTATTTGCCTTTTTACCTGCTTATCCAATTTCTTTTATTCAATTCTCTCTGTTGAAATACCCAGTGTTGTTTCTGTTGTCCTGACCGACCATGGTTGATGTCATGCTGGGAATGATGGTCCAAGAAAGCAAACTCACAGGTCAGGCCACGGGACTGATGTGGGCAGGGCAGGCCTTGAATGCAGTGCCAGGCTCCTTGCTGATGAGAAGCGGCCCGTGGTGGCCGCGCATCACTATCAGTCAGATGATCACCCGTGGTTCGTTGTGATGAAGCATTGACTGGCCTGTCTCAAGGACCAAGAGGCTGTGGCCCTTGACCATTAGGGCAGCAACGAACATTCCTGGGTGGTAGTTGTGGGGGCCTGCAGCCGTGTTTAAGAAGGAAGCATGTGAGGGCACGCCTACAGGAGTGGAGATTCGGACTCTCCTGCAAACTAAACTCAGTAACTTCTTCTTGGTTTGAACATGTGTGAGAAAGCGCATTCTGAAATGCCCTTAATCACGTGTTAAAGTAAATAACTTTTGGAGCATGCCGAGAACTGAACAAGATACCCCAGGACGACCCGCCAGAGCACAGTTGGACGCTAACCTAAGCAGCTTTAAGTATCAGGGAATCATAACACCTGCTCCTCAGTCCAGGCACCTGCTCCACACTCACAGTTACTCTCTGAGAGCAAAACGGAGGGGTTTACTTTGACCCCAGTTACATTTCCCTTTGCCAAGCCGTCCACAAAAGTCCCTGAGGCCTTATTCTGTTATCTACTCTGAGTTACCTCTTAGGTTTGTCAGCTTAAAACTGACACATGCTTTTGTTCGTTCAGTTCTAAAAGCAAGTGCCTACTAGATTCAAAGACAAAGAAAAGCAAATAATTGCATAATGTGTCTAGGTCTGCAGCCAGTTGGGGAGTTGCTGGGACCTAGGGGCCTGGGAGGGGCCTGGGGAGGCCTAGGAGTGGAAAATTACTGATTCTGAGTCAAAGGAGAGGCAAGGTCTTCAAGGCCCCCAGACAAGGTGGTCTTGGCAGAGACCCTGAGAAAGGGGATGGAAGTGCCTGGGCCGGGCTCACAGATGTGCCCAAAAGCACGGCTGGGGAAGTGGGTGGGGAGGCTTCTGAGTCTTGGGCTGAACTCCCTCCAGAAAATGGCAGCACGCTGGCCGAGTCCCAAGTCCAGTGCAGGGAGGGCAGACCCCACCCCTGTGAGACATGCCAGGTAAAACTCTGTAGTTGCCTATGGTCAGGTCTGAAAAATCACACGTGTAATTTTGCCCTGGAGCCAGACTCCTCGGAATAAAGTTAAAGTAGGACATGATTTCTCAACCCCAGGGTTATTATCCTTTAGTGCTGAACAATCCTTTGCTATGGTGTGTGTGGCGGGGGGAGAGTTGTCCTCTGCACTGGGGGATGTTTGGCAGTTTCCCTGGCCTCCATCCACTAGGATCGTCTCGTGTGTCTCGGCACACGGTCAGCGTGGAGGAGGGTAGATCCAGATGACGGGGGTTGTGGGGGGTGTGGGGGCCCACCTGAGGTTAAGAATGGCCAGACATCATACTGGGATTCAGATGAGATGAAACAAACAACAAACTCATCAAATGTCCAAACCAGCCATCGTGGCCCTGGGAAATAAGATCAAAGTAACTTGGGGAGGTAGAGAAGTAGGTAGAAGAAAAGAAAACTTGGACATTTTATTTATTTAGACTTTGCTTTGTCCCAGAAAAGACAGGAGGGAAGGGACTCCCAGATTAATAAGGACAGAGGGGGAGGCATAAAGGAGACAGTCTCTCCTGAGTGCCCTCCCACCTCTCACCGCACCCCCGCCTTTGGCCCAGCTTGGGCACCTTGCATGCCACCTCCTGATAACCAGAGCACCCATCTAGGCTGCACCGTCAGGTGGAGGTGGGAAGGGGCAGTTAGGAAATCGTTTTCCAGGGCGGAGCCCGATACTCTAGGGGCTACCAAAGTTACTGCGGTTCCCCAGGGCCCCTGGAAGAGGCAGCGAGCAGACTGGCATACAGGGCATGATGGTGAAGGAGCATTTCACGTTTCCATAGCGAATCACCATTAAAGCACGGGAAACTTGGATAATCCATTAGAAAAGGCTGATTTCAGTATTCAATGATTAGCATATTTATTAAGCACCCATTATAGCTAAGCAGTATGGTGATCACCTTAGCGTACATTGGTGAGCAAGTCTTTAATAACAGAGGTGCCAAATATTCACAACAGCCAAGCCATGGAAACAACCTAAGTGTCCATCGACAGAGGAATGGATAAAGAAGATGTGGTACATATGTACAATGGAATATTAGTCATAAAAGAGAATGAAATAATGCCAGTTTCAGCTACATGGATGGACCTAGAGATGATCATACTAAGTGAAGTAAGTCAGAAAGAGAAAGACAAATACCATGTGATATCACTTATATGTGGAATCTAAAATATGACACAAATGATCATATCTACAAAACAGAAACAGACTCACAGACATAGAGAACAGACTTGTGGTTGCCAATGGGGAGGGGGCTGGGGGAGGGAAGGACTGGGAGTTTGGAGTTAACAGATGCAAACTATTTTATACAGAATGGATAAACAACAAGGTCCTACTGTATAGCACAGGGAACTATATTCAATATCCTGTGGTAAACCATAACGGAAAAGAATATATATGTATAGCTGAGTCACTTTGCTGTACACAACACTGTAAATCAACTATACTTCAATGAAATTAAAAAAAAAACAAGAAGTACCAAGCACATGTATGTTAACCCATATAATACTTACCAAAAATATTTTACAGTTGAGGAAACTGAGCCAAAAGAGGTTATTTGTAACTTGCTCAAATGCACACAGCAAGGAAGGAATGAGGCCAATACTTAAAGTACTTAGGAAACCTGGGGGCACCAAACTTCACACTAGTTAAAACCACGTGATTCTGCCTTAAGATTTTTGGAAGTTAGGCAAGGAAGTTACGGTCTTTTTCTCTAGATGTGTGATAGGCTGGACTCCATGTGAGTTTATCTGAGCCCCAGGTTGGTCCGGGCCGCGGTGGGGGGTGGGGGTGCGTTCAGAAAGGGTAGCTGAGAAGCCAAAGAGAAATGTCCTAACTTCCTAATTTTGCTTTGTGCTGGGAGTAATCTCTAATGAAAACCTGCCATGAGGATCACCAACTGAATACACTTCATTTTAAAATGAAGCATCCGAAGCGCAGTCTTAAGTATTTTCGGAAACCAACTCCCTAGTTGACAGTCATGAAAAATATGAACAAGAAAGATGGAGCGCAGCCTGCCCTCGGCTGCCCCAGTGCGGCCGGGCGGAGCAGGCAATTCTCCGCCAGTTTCCCCACGTGTAGGGCGAGGTGGCCGGGCGACCCTAACACACTCCGTTTTCTGATTCCTCCTTGTTTGTATTTCCACCAGTCTCTCGTTCCTACACCTAAAGCCTCTCTACCAGGTGTCCAACGCACGGTGGGCACAGACGAAGGCCGACCGTGTGAACAGGGTCCCGTCGGGGTGCAAGCGGTCAGCACTTGTTACAGGGCGGGCCGGGCAGCTCCTGAGCTCCTGAGCTCCAACTGCAGGAGGACCGCCGCCCGGTACTCGCGGTGAGCGGTGCCCGCGGCCAGCGGCGCCCGAGGTGCTGTCCGGCCGGGTCCGCTCGGGGGACGCTCCTCGCTCGCGGCCACACCCTCGGGAAAGGGTCTGAGCTCCGCGAGGGTCCGAGCCGGGCCCCTCTCCCGCCACGCGGCCCTAGGCTTCCCACAAGCTGGACCCAGCTTCAGCGGGGAGTCGGAGGGGCGGGGCCCGGCGCTGTGGGGGCGGGGCTCATCGCCGGTCGCGCAGGGAGAGGGACCCAGGGAGGAAAGGAGCGGGGCTCGGCGCGGGGCGGGGTTTGCGCAGGAGGGCGGGGCAGGGAGGGGCGAGGGGCGAGGGGCGGGACGGGACGCTGGGCGCTGCTCCAGGGCCAGGGGCAGCTCCAGGTCCGCTCCCTGCCAGCTCCCGGTCCCTCGCAAGTCCTCACGGGCGGGCGAGCGCGGCCCAGGCGCGGAGCGGCGGGAGGCGCCGGCGGGCCCGGAGGCCGCGATGAAGCCGAGCAGCGAGGACGGGGCGGCGCAGGCCGGGGGCCCGTGGGAGGAGTGCTTCGAGGCAGCGGCGCAGCTGGCGCTGCGGGCTGGACAGGTGAGCGCGGCCCCGGGCGCACGGCAGGCGCACTCGGACTTGGGGCAGAGCGGACGCAGGGCGTGGGCGGACGGAGACCCAGAGGGCCGGACCGGGACCTGGGGGCGCGAGCCGCGGAGGGGCTCCGCGCAGCCTACCGCACACCTGTGCACCTGCCACGCCTGCGCCGGGACTGTCGCCCTGGATCCCGCGGCCCGGAGGCGCGGGCCGGGCTCGGGGCGCAGGGCGGCCTGGCGGGAGCGGGCGGGTCAGGGCGCGCGGACTGCCTCGGATTTGACCCAGTGGGCGGGACACGGTGCGGTTGCCCCGGGTTAGAACCCCTACGCGTGGAGGTCGGGCGGACAGTCTGTCCTCGCGCATCCGGAGTCTAGAGGGTTCCACTCTGCGTTTGGAGGAACTGCTACCCGCACCGGAAGGGTGACGGTCAAGGAGCGGAGCTGAAGAAACCTTCAGAGGGCAGCCCCTCTCTTCGCACTTTCCTGTGTGTTTTGTTTCCCCATTTCCTCGGTGCTTCACGCCTGGGGTTCCGCAGGCCACGTGCGGCGGCGAATGGGGGGCGCGGGGGGAGGCAGGGCGCAGGGACCGCACGCTCCCTGCTCGCGCGTTAAGGCGCTCGGCTGCGTTCCTGCGAGCGGAGCGGGAGGGTGGACAGAGGAGGAGCCCTGCCCGCAGACGGATTTTCTGTTCCCAGCGGCAGTTCCTTTTCGGTCCGAAAGTGCCCCACGGGCTAAAGTCAGGCTGTCGCCAGTCCTGCATTTGAAGTGAGTCCTTAAGGTGCACAGTCACAGTGCAGTCCCTTGGTCCCCTAAAAGTTAACTTTCAACACTAGTGGACCCTCCCTCTGTGAGACTTGATCCTTGGGGAAAAGGAGGACCCCAACCTTACCTGCTGCATTGATGGAGCTCATGGCTTCAGGGCAAACGTTCTTCCTGGAAAGCTGGTCCACTCTGTGAGGGGTGCGCGTGACCTCCCCGCTTCCGAGACCCTCACTTCCTCTCCAGAGTGAGCGTCCTCAGGATATTCGGTAACTTTTAGGTTCCACCATACAACTTTTCTTCTTTGAGCTTTGAGAAGAAGCCAGTTTAGAATTCAGACACCACTGTGTAAACCCTGGTGAGTTGTTACGGGTTTCTGTGGTTTTTCAAATTTAGATCCTTGAGGAAACAGAAGGGTTTTTGAACCACCACCCCCATTTTTTTAAAGAAATTTACAAATGCTTACACAGAACTTGCAATATAGCAGGCACCTTTCTAAGGGTCCTGGGAACTTTAACTTATTTAAGAGATAGCTTCTGCTTTTGTAACTTGCCAAGAACAACAGAAAAAGCTTTTTTTGACAGTGGGGGAAGGATGCAATAAGGATTCTGCCATTGGGAGTCTGATCAGGGGGCCCAGCACGCTGGGCTCCCTCCTGGGCATTATGCTGATGCTTCCTGCCTGCCAGGCAGTGGCAGGGAGAGTGGCCCAATTGTCTGTGGCTGGGAGGAACAGAAGCCACACAGGGTCATCCTAACCCGTGTAAAGAGGGACAGACTGTCTTAGTAATGTTCTGACAGTAACAAGGTGCTGATTGGAGAAAACCTGGCCTGTAGCCAGAAAGCCCCAAGAGTCATGAAGGGTGGTTAGTGGTGATTCTTGGGAGTCCTCCTTAGCCAGAGGCACATTTGGTACAGGTTCTGTGGCCTTGTGGCCCAACGTGCCCGCCCTCTCACGTTCTGCTGTTTTATTAAGTCTGCTACTCCCGAGACAGCTCTGTGTGCTCCACTGAGTCTGGGTTCTCTACATTCAGAGGGAGTGCCCTCCCTCCCAGGAGACAGTGTCTGCCATCCATGTTTCAGACATTGGTTCGGGTCAGGGCAGCCCTGGACAATTTGCTGCCACCTCCCCTCTGCCGCATCCTGAGAGGCCTCCCAGACCCCTCCTTCCTTGTCTCTCCACCACCCATCCCTGTGGTGCCCCTGAGAAGCATCCCTTCCAGTCCCAACCACCAGTACCACTGCAGAAGCCCCTCCCTGGCTGTTGGGCTTTGGGGAAGGGGGTGACGTCAGCTCCACACCATCACCACCACGAGTACACAGAGTGATATTCATCGAAATGGGTATTTATCATCTTTTATGTGATGTGTGAGCAAAAGTATCTTAGAAAACTATGCTTTTTAAGTTGTCCTGCAGGGATAGATCCAGGTTTTCTTGAACCTGAAGTTTAGACAATTTACAGGCCCTCTTTAAGAAAAAATATACAAAATTACAAATTCAAAACTAGATATAAAAGTTTATTTAGAATAAGAAAGATCACAACAGCATAAATTTTAAGATGCTAACAAATATAACAAAATACATAAGAATAATTTTTTAACTGCTTCTCAATCTTCTGTAATACTCTTTTCCCATTTTTGGCTTTATACTCTTTACGTCTTTGAATGACAACGATTTTGTAGTACTTTCTATGGAGAGACTAGAAAGGTAAGTTCAGGCTTTCCTGTAGGATGGCTCATTGAAATTCATTACTGTGGTTTACAAAAGTTTAATTAGGCTTCAAACTTGTTATTGGTAGGGTCATATAAATGTTTAGGATTGCCATCAAATTTGAGAATCCTGTCAGTTTCATTTTACATATTAGTTGTCAGACAGGGAAGAATTTTCCAGTATGCTCTGAGGGGATGCCCTATGTCCACCTCCAACTGTCCAGAGCAGAGGGGCACAGCGGGGGCTCTGACCCAACATCCCTATTTGTCTGGCTTGCATTGCCACAGGTGTTTTTGTTTGTTTGTTTGTTTCTGTTTTTGTTTTTTTTGTGTGTGGCTGCATTGGGTCTTCATTGCTGTTCATGGGCTTTCTCCCTAGTTGCGGCCAGCATGGGCTACTCTTCCTTGTGGTGAGTGGGCTTCTTATTGCGATGGCTTCTCTTGTTGGGGAGCACAAGCTCTAGGTGCACGGGCTTCAGTAGTTGCAGTACGTGGGCTCAGTAGTTGTGGCACAGGAGCTGAGTAGTTTGTGGCTTGTGGTCTTTAGAGCACAGGCTCAGTAGTTGTGGCGCACGGGCTTAGTTGCTCCGCAGCATGTGGGATCTTCCCAGACCAGGGCTTGAACCCGTGTCCCCTGCATTAGCAGGTGTACTCTTAACCACTGCACCACCAGGGAAGTCCCCACAGGTGTTGTCTTGATTTGTGATTTTATTTTTTATCAGTTATTCACACAGGGAGTTTAAAAAGTGAAATACTGCTAAAGGGACTGTCGTGGAACCAGCAGTGTCCTGTCCATGTCATCCTCATCCTTTTCCCCAGAACTCACTGTTTTCAGTTTTCTGATAGTTACACCCGTTTTCTAAATAGTAGCTCTTTTTTTTGCGTCATCCACATTAGACACTGTTATGTCCTGTGGCTGTGTTACCTGTTGGTTCCATTGGTGCCTGTGCTCACGTGCTATGACCACATGTAGCATATGGTCAAGCTGGGTAGCATGGTTGTATTACATATTCTTTTCTTTCTTATGCAACTTGTGTTTTCCTTAAGGTTAAAAAAAAATTTTTTTTTGGCTTAGTTTTCTACACACCTACCAACAGCCATCTTCTGACTTCCCAACAGAATTTTTGATGATCTCCTTGGTATAGACACTCATCGGTCTCGCTGCTGGGAACACGTGGTCCTCACACCTTCATGTGCATCAGAAGCACCTGGAGGGCCTCCACAGCAGGCTGCGTCCGCCACAGGGTTCCTACTCACCGGGTCTGGAGTGGGGCCGAGAATGAGCACTTCCACCAAAACCCCAGCTGATGCTGTCCGGCTGGGGATGGCCCTTTGAGAAACACTGCTGTATGTAGTATTTTGTTACATGACTATATGACGGTTTATTCATTCAACTCTTGAAGAAACTCTGGGTAATGTCCAGTTTGGAATTATTAGGAATAATGTTGCTCATCCAGCACTCTCGCATGTGTCTTTTGGTTACCTCCATATGCATTTCTGCTGAGGTTAGATTAACAGTAGGAGTGAAATTGCTGTGGCATCATGTATGAAATTCTGCCAGGTGGTTTTCCAAGGCAGATGCAGGGATTCACGATTCCCCAGCAGGAGGTGAGGGTTCCTGTTGCCTCATCTCAAAGACGACACTTGGTATTGTCTGTCTTTCCATTTTAGCACTTGTGACCGGTTTGAGGTGGTGTTTTACGGTGGTTTTAATTTGCATGTCCTGTATGACTAATGAACTTAAGTGCCTTTTTATGTGTTTACTGGCCTCTTTTTAAAATGGTGGTGCTAAAACAGGTTAGAAATGTATTCATTCACACAACAACTATTTGAGTAACTCTGGAAAGGACTTTAACCTTACTCTGAGTGTGATTGAGGTTGGGGGTAGAGTCCCATGTGGAGCCCTGCAGGGTGACGGGGAGAACACCCTGGCTGCTGCTGGGGCGGGGGTGAGGCTGCAACGCCACAGGGGGTGGGGCAGAACCAGATCTCCATGGAAGTGATTAGAATATTCCGAGTGAGGGATGAGGGTGGATCTGACTGGGGGTGGTGAAGAAGCTGGTAAACAGATGTATTTCGAAGGCAGAGCTGCCAGGTTTGCTGCCAGATCGGAAGCGGGTGTGAGAGGAGCCAGGGGTGCCTGCAGGGTTCGGGTCTGAAGAACTGTCCAGTGAATTTGCAGGAACTGTAGGGGGAGCAGGTTTGGAGGTGGAGGTCAGGTCCTGTGTTCCACGAGCTGTGAGCTGTTGACCTTGAAATGCCGGTGGATCCCTACGTGGGGGCCTTTGGGTGGAGAGTTCACGTGAGCGGCTGAGGGTGGAGGCGCCAGTTTGGGAGCCATCAGTCAGCCTGGGCTGGTGTCTCAGGCCGGGTCCTGCCCGGGATGGGGACAAGCAGGCTTGTCTGCCCTGGGCTTTCCGTAGGCGGATCCCATGTCGAGCTACCGGCATTTCCTCTGGGAGATCACAACCTGGCGGGACGTGGAGGTGGAGGTCCCCCTGCTGTCGTGGCTGAGGATGGAGGGGGCAGCTGGTGACCTCACCATCTCCACTGTCAGTCCTGGCCTTGTCAGCCCCACCTGCACCCACGCCCCAAGCTTCTGCAGAGTGGGGTCAACCATGTTGACATTTGTAACCCTTTCACCCACATTTGAAGCCTCAGCCAAGATGGAACTTGTGAGATAGCAACTGGCAGTTGGAGCAGCAGCCCCACTGGCACACATGGGCTGAGGGTCCAGGGACAGTCTATGGAGAGCTCTCTCTCACGCAGAGAAGGGTTTGTGTTTTCTGTCTGTTCTGGTCTTCAGCTGATGGGGCCAGGCCCACCCACATTCCAAAGGGCAATCTTCTTTACTGATTAATATGTTCGTCTCATCCAAAAACGTCCTTGCAGAAACACCCAGAATAACATTCAACGCAGTATTTGGGTACCCCACGGCCCAGTCAAGTTGACACATAAGATTAACCATCACATCACATTCATAAGTCTGGAACCTGAAACGTGGCAGTACCGCCAGGCCCACATCTGCAGAGGAAAGATGTTGCCTGTTGAAACCCCACTTCCGCAGAGTTCTCAGTGTGCGTTCCATGGGTCCCCGAGCTCACACACGTTGCTCCATAGGGATGGGTGATAATCGTATGGTCGACTTGGGGACAGTAGCATACAACCGAGATGGTTCACAGACAAGAAAGAGGCATTTGGACGTGTCTCTGAATGACACCTCAGACGCTGGAGCTGATGGAGTTTGAAATTCAGGCTTCAGTGACTTAAGTCTCATATTTTATATATTAAACATTAACAGAATGTTATTTTGAGGGAGAGATCCAGGCCAGGAGGTCTATGAAGTGCAGGCTTGGTTAGTGAGTAGCTGAAAACATTAATTAAAAAACAGCCACACTAACTTATTGCTGGCAAAGTGAGAATGTTTAAAATCCCAAGACTGAGAGAAAACAGTTGTGGTAAAGGGTTTTAGCAGGTAACTCACCCGGAACCCCACAGGCCTTTCCCCTGAGGATGCGACTATGGTTAAAAGGCAGGGCTGATTGAGTCTCATAATGATTTGTTTAAAAACAAGACACTGGGTTTCCCTGGTGGCGCAGTGGTTGAGAGTCCGCCTGCCGATGCAGGGGACACGGGTTCGTGCCCCGGTCTGGGAAGATCCCACATGCCGCGGAGCGGCTAGGCTCGTGAGCCATGGCCGCTGAGCCTGCGCTTCCGGAGCCTGTGCTCCGCAACGGGAGAGGCCACAACAGTGAGAGGCCCGCATACAGCAAAAAAAAAAAAAAAAAAAAAAAAAACAAGACACTATCCCCACCTTTCCTCTCAGTGTAGGAAATTGTCTGAATTGAACTTTTCTTAACCTAGTACTGAGATTTGTACATTGTGTATGTGGTAGGTTTGGGGGGTTTTGTCATAAGGCATTAAGTGTTTTGAGGCCTCGGCCCCCTCAGATGGACGGATGGGCCTTCAGAGGAGTGGACGGGAGAGTGTCTGGGGCCAGGATGGCTGGCTCATCTGAAGGGCAGTGTAGTCTGGGATGATAATTCAGAAATGGGATCTAAATATCTGGGAGTACAACCAGATGAGAGGGAGGAGTCGGGAATGGTCTGCAGGTCCCTCCCAGGCGTCCAAGGCCCGAAGGAGCAGCAGCCGGTGAAGAGGGCTGGCCACGGCAGCACTGCAGGTGGCTGGGAATGCGGGTGTGGCCTGCCCTGCGCTGAGGGACACAGGCCCACAAGGAAAGGATCATCACACAGCCATAATAAACACTAATAGAAACGGAAAAGAAATCCTTATAAAAGGACACGCTCTAGCATCCTCCTCCTGGATCCGTAATTTCCGTCCTTTGCATGATCTGTGGCTGGGGGCCTGGCTCCCCTGGGAAGGAGCCCAGATGACATCAGGACGCCCCCACTGCCCCTGGGCATGTCTCCTCTCCGTTGGATCCAGAGGATGGAGAGGCCAGGACGCTCAGATGAGGCTTCATGAGAGCACTTGCCGAGCTTTTTCCCGACTTAGTTACCTGACCCCGTGTGCACCCAGCAGGTGTTCTCTGAGACCTCACCATGTGTCAGGCTGCAGAGCCCGCCTGGCGGGTGGGTTCAGACACAGGGCAGACGAGGGTCCTAACCTGGGAGCCAGGAGCGAACTTGCAGGGTGAGCGCCGGCTCTGCAGGGAGGTGACATCTCAGTCACAAAGGAGGAGTGCTGGGGCCAGAGGAATCTGGCGTACAGTGGGAAGGGGGTGGGAGGGTGAGTGACGGTTTGGTGCAGCAGGAGGGGCAGGGTATGCGGGGGCGCAGAGGTGGGCCGATGGGCTGGCTCCTTTAGAGTCGGGGACAGAGGCAGGGGGTCCTTTCTCCCCGCCCCTCCCAAGTCCAGTTAGAGTCTGGGAGGCAGGCTCTGCTTCCCAAGTCACCCAGGGGCCCGTCCCTTCCCGCCACTGCTCTGACCCCGCTGATCTGACCCCGGCAACCACGCCCAAGTCACAGCGGAGGGAGTGGAAGGGCAGGAGGAAGTGCCATGCCAACAATGGCCCTTTGAGGACGTGACTCGGGAATCACACTCATCGCTTCCCCTCGCGTCCTGGGGGCTGACCTTGGTCCCAGGGCCACACCTGCCTGCACAGGAAGCTGAGATGCGGGCTGCCATGTGGCTTGGTGCCCTGCTAACCTTGGGCTTTGTTCCTAGAAGGAAGAGGGCCGGCTACTCGGGTCCAGTTGTCTCTGCTCCAGGCCAGCCCACGGAGGCCACTGTGAGCTACGTCGGGGGTAACTTTATCCTCGGGGAGACGGGGCCATTGGGTGCTTTATGCGGGCCCGGGCTTAGCGAGCCCTTCTGGCTGCACTGCAGGGAGTGGACGTGCGGGGGCAGGGGGGGCCCGGGAGGCAGGACAGGATGGAAGCCAGAGGGTGATGGGCTTCGAGGGTAACAAGAGGCGAAACAAGACAGATCAAGGGGTCAGTGTTCCACAAGCGCGTGAGGTCTGGTTGGAAAACACGGTGCTGAGTCTGTTTAAGCAGTCTGAGGTATAATGCGCCTCGGCTGTGTGCCGGGCACGACCCTAGACACCAGGTGGGCAGCAGGGAGCAGAGAGCAAGCCGGGTTTTCTGTTAGAAAACATTACAACCAATCTGTTATCTTTGCAACCAAACTCGGAAAACCAAACAACTGTCTGGGCTTAGTGCTGGGATGAGGACCGCCCCTGTCTAGGGGTTCCTGCTTATTCTGTGAAATCCTGCGTGAGCACCCCTATCTGCAGGCTTGCTGGAGGCGTCTTCCTGGCCTCCTCCTCTCCAGTGAATGGGTACATGGGATGTGGGTACAGGGTATGTGTACCGGGCATGTGTGTACACGGCATGTGAGTACATGGGATGTGGGTACAGGGCATATGTGTACATGGCAGGTGGGTACAGGGCATGTGTGTACGCGGCATGTGCATACATGGCATGTGGGTACAGAGCATGTAATTACACGGCGTGTGTGTACAGGGCATGTGTGTACACGGCATGTGGGTACATGGGATGTGGGTACAGGGCATGTGTGTACATGGCATGTGGGTACAGGGCAGGTGTATACACGGCATGTGGGTACATGGGATATGGGTACAGGGTATGTGTGTACATGGTGTGTGGGTACAGGGCATGTGGGTACAGGGCAGGTGGGTACAGGGCATGTGTGTACAGGGCATGTGTGTACACGGCATCTGGGTACAGGGCAGGTGGGTACAGGGCATGTGTGTACACGGCAAGTGGATACAGGGCATTGTGTACACGGCATGTGGGTACAGGGCATGTGTACAAGGCATGTATGTACATAGCATGTGTGTACACGATGTGTGTGTACAGGGCATGGGATACACCCACCTAAGGTTGAAGAGTATCACGGGGTTGGCGGTGTGGATGTCAGGTGGCGGCTGAGCGAGGGTGTCCATGGAAGGAGGTGAGGGACCCTGGGTGCAGCGGGTCTTGGAGGAGAGGTCAGAGGTCGCTTAAGGGTCCTGATGTCACCGTGGTTGGGGACTCGAGCTGTGACTCGGGCAGAGGTGACAGGATAGGCCCTAGCTGCAGTGGGGCTGTTTCCTGATTAATACCCTCAACGACTTCCTGTGTGGGCCCCCGGGGAGGCCCTGGCGCTCAGCCCTCTGTCCCGGGTGTAGGCGAAGCGCTGGCAGCTCCTGGGAGACCAAACCACTCGGTCCTGTGACCTGATGCACCCAGCCCCCGGGGCGTGAGGCCAGGGCCTGCCTTCCAGTTCTCTGCGTGCGTTTTCACTTTCCCGGGTTTGGTTTCAGCTGGACCGTTTGGGCTCCCGATCCGGGGGCACGTTCGTGTGACGGGTAAAGTGAATGAGGAGAAGCGGTTCCTACACTGAAATCTCCCAAGTTCAAGCCCGGGCGGCTCCGTGGGGCTCCGTGGCTGAAGCTTCACGTCCTTAGAACCGCGTTTCTTTCCTCCAAAGAAAGACTGTTCCACCCATGACCGCCTTTCTCGCGAGAAGAGTAGGCGGCAGTGAAGGTTCCCAGGAGCCCCACAGAGAGCCGGGCGCCACCGGTCCATCTGTCTGGCCGTCCGCGGTGGGGGAGGGGGCCCAGCTCTGGTGCAGGACCATCCCCAGCGCAGGGGGTGCTGGCCAGCATCACCCACCTCCCGACTTTCATTGCAGATCATCAGGAAAGCCCTTTCTGAGGAAAAACGCGTCTCAACAAAAACGTCGGCCGCGGACCTGGTGACAGAAACAGATCACGTGGTGGAGGCTCTGATCCTGCAGGAGCTGCAGCAGCGCTTTCCCTCCCACAGGTGGGTGCGCTGGGGCCTCGCTGACTACTTGCTGTGACCCGCCCCCGGCCGCGTGTCCCCCCACTCTCCGCCCCGCCGTGGATCCTGGCGGGGAGTCCCCTCTGCTGTGCCCTGTCAGCCCAGGGCCACGCGGACTTTCCCAGGACGCATCCCCGCATGTGGCCGTCCCCAGGGCCGCCCGCCCCTCCTGCCACGCCCACACCAAGCCCTCAGGGCCACCCCCCTCCAGAGCAGGTGTCCCTGACCTTTTGGGTCACTGTGTGGAGAATCCGATACAACAATTAATCTTCCCTTGAAAAGGCCAGCATTTGCCCAGCGCTGTGTGTCTAGTTCCAAGGGGGCCCAGAGCCCCAGAGGCAGACGCTCTGAGCTCGGGGAGGGGGCTCCTTGGGCACAAGTGTCCCTTTCCTTCCTTAGGGAGCTGCTCACCCTGGAGCCCAATCGCTGGATTCCCAGGTGTAGACGACATGTCTGTCCGGCCCCATGTCCGTGTGGACCAGTGAGGGGCTCCCTCCTGCCACGTGATGCCCTGCGACTGACTGGGGGGTAGGGGACAGGCCGTACCGTCTCCCCGCTTCTTCCTTCTAACCCGCATCACCTGGGGGGTCATGTGTGTGTATATGTGTGCGTGTGTGTGTGTAGGCATGTTGATGGCAGCCCTGTGTTTCAGCGTCTCTCCCTTTTTCCTTGTTTGGCATAAAGTCAGGACCCTAGCATCTATTATAATGGTTACAGGCTCTGCACTGTTTATTATTTCTTAACTTTCAAAAATCTAAATTAAATGGCAGCATCCAAAGAATCACAGCTGACCTTTGAACAGCATGGGTTTGAGCCACACAGGTCCACGCAGACGTGGCTGCAGACCCAGGGCAGGGTGGGCGGGGCTGGCTGGCAGGGTCAGTGCCCCTGGCCCCGCCGTGTTCAAGGCAGTTGGATTCCCTGAGAGGTGACGGCTCAGGAACCACCACTGGTTCTGGCTCAGGAGCTCTTTCTGTCCCTGTATTGTCTGGTGGCTCCAACAGCAGTGAGGCAGCTGGACTGTGGAGCCCTGGGGTCCAGGGTCCAGGTAAAGGCTCTGGTCACTGCAGGGGTCTGCGTGGTGGTGGTCCCAGGCCTCCTGGCGCTTTGCAGTCAGATCACTCTGACAGACCGAATCCTGAAAGTGCTGGCCGGTTGCTGGTGCTTTGGATGCACTGTTGTGTCGATATGGGGCCTGGTGTCTGTTTGCACAGTGTGAATTTACACACTCCTTGACAAGTATCACAGGACAGAAGACAGTGTGTCACACGGGGGGCCTCAGGCTCCGAAGCCCCTTAGGAAGACTGTCTGGGTCCGCCCAGAGCAGCAGTCCCCACCCCGGGTGGGTGTCAGGCCCCCTGGAGCCTCTCCAACCGTGCCTGCCAGCCCACCTGACAAAGCCCTGGGCAGTGCAGGTACCCCCCAACCCCTAACAAGAGGCAGCGGTCCCCAAGCTGCAGGCTGCGAGGCAGGGACTGGCTGCCCCTGTCAGCCTGGCTCTGCTCCCTCTCCCCTCTTGGCCCTGAGAGCAAAGCCAGGATGCTATCTCTGCTCTGTTGCCTAGAAAATTCAGATAGGTGAAATCATTTTTCAGCATACCTAAGTCAGGTTTGTTTTTTCCCCAATGATTAAGATTTAAAAGAAAGTACCAGAATTTGGGGACATTTAATTGTATTTTAGATCAGAGACAAATTGAGAAACTTGTGATGAGGGAAAAAATTGCATGCATATTATAAGATAAAATAGTATATTGTTATTTTTCTGCATTCAGAGTATTTAAATATATCCCTTAAACAACAAGTTGGTATAAGGCTGTCACCCTTTCTTAAGAAGTCTGAACTTATGCTCTTCCTCATTTTTAGTCTTTCACAAAATAGTATTAAAGATAGATTGCATGGGACTTCCCTGGTGGTGCAGTGGTTAAAGAATCCGCCTGCAACGCAGGGGACACGGGTTCAATCCTTGGTCTGGGAAGATCCCACATGCCGCAGAGCAACTAAGCCCGTGCGCCACAACTACTGAGCCTGTGTGCCATAACTACTGAAGCCTGTGCACCCTAGAGCCCATGCTCCACAACAAGAGAAGCTACCGCAATGAGAAGCCCACACACCGCAACGAAGAGTAGCCCCCGCTCGCCACAACTAGAGAAAGCCTGTGCGCATCAACAAAGACCAAACACAGCCAAAAAATAAATAAATAAATAAAAAATAGATAGAATGCAGCTGTTTTGACTTTGATAAAATAAGAAACAACCTGACTCTGGGCTCCCTAGTTTTGCTATTTTATTTTACTCACTGGTGAAATCCAAAGCCTGGAAGATGGGTGTGGACAGAAACTGCGCTTGCTTCTGCCCTCGGCTGGGCAGTTGCTCCACCCCCAGGGATGGGAATCTGACCATGGTGTCACCCAGCACTGACACTGCCGAGAGCGGAGGAGGTGACACAAGGAATCAGGTCAGGGCCGCGTTCCTGAAGCACTGTGTTGGTGCCAACGGCATGAGCTCAGTCTGCGTCCAGGCCACCTCTGTGGGTGCCGAAACCTGTTCCAGCTGTGCTCCCAAGTGAGATTCAAGTGGGGCGACTTTGAAGACATGCAGTAGCATCACTGAGCCTGTTCCCGTTCCCTTGTCTGGGAGGCACAGGCTGGGGGAGGAGGACAGCTGGTGCTCTCTCGCCTCTGCCTGGGCTGGGCCCCTGGTGGGACGTGGCTGCACTGTCGTGCTGACCGGCCCCTGTACCCTGTGGGGTGCGTGCACTCGGGGAGAAGGCGTTCCTGGCCACCAACACCTGAATGCCTGCCTGCATTGTCTCCCTGCTGCATTTCACACTGTGTCCTCAGGCAGCAGAGCCTGGGCCGAAGCCTGAGCGATGAGGCTGAGGACGTTAGCTGGCTCCCTAGTGGACTGAAGGTGACCCTGACCTTGTCACAGAGTCAACAGACTGGCCAAAGAGAAGGCCTGGGTGCTCCTGGCCATCAAAATCATAAGGAGGGTTTGTTATGACTCTTAGGAAGAAGTAATAAAGCAAAATGTATTCGTCTAACTTGTTTCTAAGCTCTGAACCTTGTCCCTGGTGCTCATTTCCTCTGTACATTCAATAGGCCTATGAAATGGCCCCATGCTCAGTCACGTGTGTTGTTTCTGTTTACACTGTGGGTTTTTCGTGGACGGTCCAGCGCTCTTGTTGAGGTGTCTGTTACTCTTTCACACGCAATCTGAGTCCGTGTACCCCGGCCTCTGCAGGAATTACCTTCCCACACGGAGAAAATCAGGGTCCACAGGCTGGGGAGGTATTCTGGTGCCTTAGAAGAGTGAACACGTCTGAGGCCCTGACCCCAGGGCCACCCACGGGCACGAGGCTAGTGGGGAGGTGACCAGTGCTCCCCCCACCTGGGCTTGCGGTCAAGAGGAAGGTGCCCTCGGCCTGAACAGTCGACGCCCAGAAAGGCCAGGCCTTGGAGTGGCTGCTCCAAGAAATGCCCCACAGGACAAAAGCTGTGTCTGCAGATGCATCATGGGGGCTGCTCCGGGAGCCCAGAGACCGCGTACACACATTTGCTGATGGACTGACGGCCAGCCACAGGCTGTGATCCAGCTGTCTGAGCCGTCGGCCCCTCCTCCTCCTCCAGGACCCCAGCGACTCCTGCCAACCCCCCTAGTAGGTACCAGCTTCTCACTTAAAATCAGGTTAGAAAAGGAAGAAGATTCCACATTCCTCCCAGGTTCCTGGGATCATCTTTGTTGTGAGTCATTTCTATTCTCGACCTTAGTGACATATTCTCACTGCTTCCTGGACCTTGTGCCCAGTTCAAGCCTGGGACTTTGTCCTCATGTGTGTGTGTTTCGGGTATGGCCCCCTTTCTCTAAGAACATAATCACAGACTTGCAGGAAAATCACGTAGCTGCAGAAAGCACTGAAGACGGATTTAATACCTTACATCTTTGGCTCAGAAAACCTCAGAGCTAATGCGGCATAGGATGGTCCCCTTGTTTCTGCTGGGGTTAGCGGTCAGGGAGTCACCCTGCCTGGCCGCACCCCGTCCAGCCTCCTCTGACTTGATGGTCACCACAACCATGTTCATCTAGACCCGCCTACCTGGGTCACATTATCCGAATGATCCAAATTCCCAGAGGGGAGGATGGCAGGGAGGCTGCCCAGCAGGAGGAGGGACAAAAGCCAGGAGCTTCCCGGATGCATCTGGTCTGCCCTCTGGGCTGTAAGCTCCTGGGGGGCAGCTGTAGGCTTTCTCTACTCACACGAATTTTCCAGGTTCCTCGCCCCTGCCCCCAGTCTGGTGCTTTGCTTGCTCGCAGGTGGGTTTTTCCAGAGACAGCGGTGGGCGGGCTGGAAACAGCAACCTGAAAATGATGATGTAGCCTCATCGTGTACCCGGACGAGCTTCGGGTGATTTGTCTGTGTCTGGATGACTCTGCACATAGAGTGTGAGTTTCATAATATTTGGGACAGAAATGCTGCCGGAGTTGAGGGGGACCAGCTGAGTGACGGTGCAGGTGACGGCACTGTGTCAGTTGAAGTGACACCAGAATGAAGGGCACCTTCACAGTGTTAGGACCGTGACATGCCAGCCCGGAGAGCTTCCTGTGGTGACAGAGGTGTTCTTTCTGCACGTCCAGTGTGGTGGCCTCTGACCCGTGTGACTAGTGAGACTAAGGTGCCAACTCTAACTTTTTTTTTTTTCCAACTCTTTTTTTTTTTAATTTTTATTTCTTTTATTTATTTTTGGCTGCGTTGGGTCTTCGTTGCTGTGTGTGGGCTTTCTCTAGTTGCAGCGAGCCGGGGCTACTCTTCGTTGTTACAGCGGCTTCTCTTGTTGCGGAGCACGGGCACTAGGCGCGCGGGATCCAGTAGTTGTGGCACGCGGGCCTAGTTGCTCCGCGGCACGTGAGATCTTCCTGGGCCAGGGCTCGAACCCGTGTCCCCTGCATTGGCAGGCGGATTCTTAACCACTGTGCCACCAGGAAAGTCCCCAACTCTAACTTTTAAATTCTATTTAAAAAGAGCTTCCCGACGACTACAACTGGGGTGTGCAAAACGCCAGCAGTAGGACACCAAGCATTTCTTGTTTTTCACTCGTTTTTCCTTCTTGGTAGAGGTGTGCTGTGGTCAGGGCCCCTTTTCCTCTAGGACAGATGAGCATGTGAGGACCTAGTGGGAAGCCCTCGGCAGGACCAGGTGAACCTGATCTGTTGGGGATGGTCAGAAACCTGTGTCGGGTGCCGTCCTGGGGGTTTAGGTGGAGTTTGTTCTTTCCTCCCAGGAGGCAGGGATGCAGACACTTCGGGGGACCCTCCAGCATGAGCCAGCATGGTGCGGGGGGACAAGAAGGAGGGGTAGGGGAGCCATCCCTGGTTTCCGGCCTAGGCGGCTGGCTCCTGGCAGCTCCCGTTGCTGAGACAGACCAAGTGGATTCTGCCTTGTTGCCGTCTAGTTCAGGTTCCCAACAGGGCGTGGACGGCCTTGCGGGGGGGGGCTTGTGTTCAGAGGACTCGACACAGAGGATGGGTGGGGACAGAGGCCCGGGATGCGTGGCCTGCGTACTCCTGCAGGATGGGGTCCAGAGGGGAGCCCAATGTGGGTGGGGCCTCCCAGGAGCAAAGTCAGCTCCTGTCTCCTGCATGCAGGACGGATGCCATGTCACCACCTGCGGTTCTGGGAGGCTGGGCTGGGTACAGATGGGGTGTCAGCTGTGATGCAGCCTGTTCCCCCAACCCCAGGCCAACCCCCCAGCATCCTCAGGCCCCTGGCTGGCTCTCTTCTCGGCCTTATCCCTGCAGAGTCAAGTCAGTGCAGAGCTCAGCTCGCCGGCAGCTCTTCCCACATCCATCCTCGGACCCCCGCCTGGCCCACCGCACCCCCTGGTGCTTTAACAGAAGGTGTCACCTTGTGTGTCTGGGTCCCGCCAAGTGACAGACTAGCAGAGGGCAAAATGCAGAAGGTCTTTCCGGGACACTGCCCCTGTTTGACCGGAGAGGCCGGGTGAGATCTCCTCACCCTGCCGGCTGGTCTCCGGGGCCGGGGCTCAAAGCGCTGAGTCTCAAGTTCCTGGCCTTTTCTCAGGCTGAGCTCTGTCCACTGCAGGTTCATCGCGGAGGAGGCTGCAGCTGCTGGGGCCAAGTGCGTGCTTACCCCCAGCCCCACCTGGATCGTCGACCCCATTGATGGCACCTGCAACTTCGTGCACAGGTGAGCGCAGGCACACCCTGGCTTTTCCGAAGCAGCACGTCAGCAAACCTCTAGCGGGTTTGTGGTCTAACTTACAAGTCATTATACTTTAAAATAAAGTTTCCCATTTGTGAGATAAGTTCAGAGCATGTAGGAGATCTTCACTTGTTTAAAAACTATTGCATTTGTCACATTTAAACGTTGGGTTGAATTAAGAAGGACCCTTAAGGAGGCCCCTGGAGAGATGGGCAGGGTTGTAAATAACACAGGGTGTCTGGTCCAGCAGCCTTGGGAGCACGCGTATGGATGGTGGCCTGGGGGGTTGAGGAGCCACCGGCTGCCGGCCTAATCTGGACAGATGTCAGCCCAGAGCAGCAGGTTTTCGGGAGGTCAGAGGCATGTGATGGCAGTGACCTGCCCAGCCCCAGAAGCGCTGACGGGGGGCGGGGTGGGGGGCGCTGTCAAAGCCTCCCATGAGGACACTCTTGCAGCCCCAGAGCTGGTTGGCCTGGGCTCCTGCCCCATCCTGGGTCCCCATCGGCGGTTGGGGGGCCTATGGACCTGCAGCCCCCACCAGTGGGACCTGCAGGGAGGCCCCCTCCCATAGGTGAGCCAGCCGCCCTCTTCCTTCCTTACAGTGAGAGGGGCTGGGGTGTGGGGTCCTCAAATGGAGCATTTATGTGTAAGTGTGGAAAGTGATTCAGCGCATCACAGGTGGCCCTTTAGAGACGGTGGAACAGAGCCATCTGGTGACAGCAACAGTGTCATCAGACTCTAACTAGAGCGTGACACCCCTGGGGAGTCCTGTGGGACCACAGGGCTCCCCTCCGGGTGTGTATCTCCGAGTGGGGCTCCTGTTCCTGTCCCACTGGTCACCTGTGTGAGGGTGCTAGGCACAGAACGGGCCAAGCCCTACCAGGGACAAAGGCCACATGTCCACCCCAGGACCAGAGAGAGAACCTGGACGAGAGTGTCATTTGAGAAACAAGCTGTGAGGCTGACCCTTAGACTCCAGACACAGTCCAGGGCCGTCCAGGGCTGTGGTGACCCTTGAAGCCTAAAGGCATTTGGGGGCCTCTGGCCACTGCAGCTCGGACAGGACCTGTCCTGCTCATGTCCAGCAGCACTGGGACTAGAGAAAGTGGGAAAAGCCTTCTGAGGGTGGGAACCACAGGCAGGCCCAGCCGTGGTGTGTCAAGAGCCTCCCCATGGAGACGGCAGGGGACATCACGACGCAGCCTGGGCAAGGCTGGGTCCCGAGTCTCCTGGGTTAGAAGCAGCCCTTCCTTGTTCCTGCTCGTTAAGCCCTAATGATCCTCACATAAAGGAGAAATCGTTCTGGAGACGTAACCTGTAAACCCGCAGGCAGGATGCGAGGTCACCGCCTGCCTTCCACGCAGTGGCCACGCCTGCTGTCCTGCGCGAGGCTCACCAGGGGTCACGGCAGGAGGGACGCGATTGTCTTGGACCCAGCCCCTCGATGGACGCTGGAGCCAGGCCCCTCCATCCCTTCAGCCTCTGAGAACCAGAAAGCTGATTATTAACAACTCTCCACTGGGTCCTCCGTCGTCACTGTTGAGTCACGTCCGTCCTGACAACGGCCAGCAGTGTTGTCTGTCAAGGTCGCTGTCCTACATGTCAGCTCGGCCTGCTTGTCCTCGAAGCGCTCAGTGAAATTGTGGGAGGTACTTTTTGACAAAACAAACCCGGCCACGCTGTAGAAGGGTCCTCTGCACCTCCAGCCATACAGAGGCTCCTGAGTTTGCATGCGTCCGTGTGTGTCACCGTGTAAACCATCTGTCTTCTCTGCAGGTTCCCGACAGTGGCAGTGAGCATTGGGTTTGCTGTGAACCAGGAGGTACGTGATGAGTGGGGCCCGGCCACGCAGCCCCTTGGGTGTTGTCTATTCATCTTGCTTCTTGGTTCCAACCTGTTTTCCTCTCCTTGTCCTCAGCCTTCATCATGATGAGTAAATGCAAGCATGTGTTTTCAAATCCAAGAAAGTAAACAAATGCAAACCAGTTTGGGGTGTGTGGGTTTGGGGCTCCAGCCAGCCCTCCCCCTCGGTGGCCATTTAGCGATGCCACGTGGAGGGGACATTCTGGACGGATGTTCCCAGTTAGTCTCCATCTGACCCCTGGGGCATGTGATCGAGTCACACAAAAGAAACTCCTATTTTTGGAGGACATTTCTAATCCCAGTGTTCTATTAGTTCTTCATTCTCCTCTAGCTGTTGGGTGAGAACATGGCTGTTGCGTGGTTCCCGTATACCCTCGGAACTGGGCCATATCTTGGGACCTGCAGAAAAGGCTGGATCCAGGCTTAAGCTTTATTATCCAGTTTCAGCGATTACACTTAGGAAAAGCCTTACCTTCGTTGCAGTTACTGCAGTTACACTTGAATAGGGCAGGGGGCCAGGCTTTGCGGAGGGAGCCCTCATCAGGGCACCCTCAGGGTTAGCGCAGATTCTGGGGCAGCAGAGGAGTCACACCCGTGAGAAAGAACTTAATTTCTGAGGTGAAGATAAGCAAGAGCCTTAATGTTGAGATCTGGTGAGGGAGTCAGTTACTCACTTGTTTCTCTGTTAAATGTGGTCATTGAGATGAGCAAGTGAAGCGGGGAGCTCGGGGCCCGGGGGCTGTTCATCCTGATGGCAGGATCTCTGACTGGCCAGACCGAGGCCTATGACGGTCCGGGGTGTGCGCTGGGTACACGTGTTCTGGCCTCATCGTGGAGGCCCTGGCTGCCTGCCGCAGTGTCTCAGAGGCCGGCCGGTTCCAGGACTGACCTGGGCTTGAGAAGGGGGGCGGTCACGTGCTGACTGGAGGGGGCGCAGGATCTGGGTGTGTGCTGACTGGAGGGTCTTCCCAGAAGTGAGCCCTTCTCCTGCCCGCCCAGACTTCCCTTGGGCGTTTGTGGGGCTTCTCCTCGTTTTCTCTGTCCGTTGGTAGCCCCACAGGCCAGGCACGTGTGCTATTCTTAGCCCAGGACGGCAGGGAGTCCGAGAGGAGAGGCAGATGGCCTCTGGGTGTAGGGAGGCCTTTTCCCAGCTCCCCTCCTCTCGGCACTTGCTTGTGGGGACTGAGGCCGCGGGCCCGGTGATGTGTGTGGTGAGGGAGGGATCAGCCCCTCCGGTGGATCACGTCTCTTCCTGGGCCGCCCCGGGCTCTGTGATGCTCTTGGATCTCCAGATGCATTCTGAATTCTTCACACGTCAGCAATTTTGAGGGTTTTTTGTGGGGTTTGATTAGAGTCACAAGAGCCTTTTTTCCCCTCCCAGAGAAAACAAAAGAGGCCTTCTTGAAGAAGGAAGCTTTTTCAGTGATTTTCAGTTACTAATGCTTGATTATGATGTCAGTTTTAAATATAGTTTTATTTGTTTAAATATATCTTTAAATATAGTTATTTAAGAAAAGAACATTTGCTTTCATGTTCAGGTCTAGGTTTGGATCCAGATGCTGATTTTTTGAGTTCCCTTTCGAAAGCTAATTTCCATCCACGGTCCTTGTGTTAGTGGTCACAGCTAGAGCTGCATGGCCTTTGGTCCCTGTGTCACATCCTGTATCTCTTTTCTGTCCTGCCCACCCCACAGCTGGAGTTCGGGGTGATTTACCACTGCACAGAGGAGCGGCTGTACACAGGCCGGAGGGGCCGGGGCGCCTTCTGCAACGGCCAGCGACTGCGCGTCTCCGGGGAGACAGGTGGGCCCTGCTCGTGTCACGCATTCCGCGAGGCAGTGGTGGGGATGTCCCACTGAGGTCCAGTCTCTTCGGGACAGTGCGCCCCTGGTGGGCTGACGTCGAGCCAGTCTGTGTCTCAGTGTGGATGTGGATGTGGCCGGGAGCCTTCAATGGGCCCTTTCTGTTCTGCTCTCACCTTTCATCCCTAGTGTGAGAAGGAACCCAGCAACTAGTTCCTGCGTGGTCCCAGTGGGCCTGGGCAAGCTGGCCAGGCCAAGGGCAGGGTCAGAGGCATACTCTGGCCCTCAGACCCTCTTGGTGACCTGGTTCCCCAGGTGCGGGCTGTGGCTCCCTGGATGTGGACCCACTGCCGTTGGCTTCAGTCCCTGTGAGAACACGGTTGGCCGCAAGGGAGCCGTGTCCGTGAGCCGTGGTGTATGCACCACAGATGCTCCCTGCCCTTGTCATTGCTGGAGCAGGACCCAAGGACACCAGTGGCTTTTACAAAGGGCTGCTGTTACACTCAGACTGCCTGTAACATACAGAGTTGACAGTATGTGCCTAGTTGGCCTGAGAGGTGGTGAGAGGGGTCAGGAGTGTCCCTGCCCCAGAGCTGCCTGCAGCCAGTGAGGAGATGGGCCTTCCAGCCCAGGTCAGGTCCGCTGAGGTCCGGTAAGAGCAGTGCTATCTGGATCCCTGGCCGGGGTGACTGTGAGCCATGGATCTGCCAGGGAGATGATCACCCCATGAAGGACGGGCGAGGCAAGAGGTCAGGCAAGAGGCCCAGGCCTCACGAGTGTTGCGGGGGGAGGTGGGCAGGAAGTAACGTTGCAGGAGCTCCAGAGGGAGGGCTCCGGCAGGACCACAGACCGGCCTTTGCCACCGCCCAGCCCAGGCTCCTGCCCGGGGACTGTTTGGTTTGGCCACGTAGACAGCAGTGTTGATTACAGCTGCGCCTGCCAGGAGTTGGCCTGCCAGCCAGTTGTGTAACTCGGGGGTGAGGGAGCGAGTTGTCAAAGGTCCTGGTGAACTTTGCTCCACATTCATTTGCTGTGATTCGAGGCTCGGTGCCCACGCTCACACCCATCCCAGGCCCTCCGCCCACGGGCCTCCTTGCTCAAACACGCTGTCCCCCCCACCTCTGCAACACGGAACCCCAAGTCCGTCGGTGCTCGTGTCCCAAAGCTCACTTGGGATTTTTAAAAAATTCTGACTCATAAAGTCCAGGGTGATGTTTTCAGCCCTGGTTGTCTTCTATTTGCCAGGTGACGAGGTTTCTACAGGAGGTGACGGAAAGCTCTCCTCAGCAGCATGGTCCTTAGGTGTCGTACAGACCTGGCTTCAAAGCCTGATTCTGACACCTTCCACATGTGACTTGTCAGCTCTGCTCCTGGAACCTCAGTGTTCACGTGGGCGGGAGGTGACGCTGATGACAGCTGTGAGGATCAAATTAAATCCTACCCACAGGGCACTCAGGAACAGCCTGGCGCTGGTGCCCAAAAAGATAGTCATTATCAGAGAAGGAATTTGAATCTTCTCATGAGATCAACCAGCTATTGATTCTGGGATGCGTTTCTGGAGGAAGCGGTCGCTAAAACAACCACCACTCATCTCCCTGCTTTCCTTGCCTTCTCTTTCCTGTGCTCCTTTCTGCAATGTTTTCAACTCACAAAAACAAAGCAAAGACCACACTGCAGAGCGGTAAAGGATTAGATGAGGCCAGAATTTCTTTGGTAGCTTTTTCTCAAAATTCTACCTTGCAGAACTGCAAACACATACAAAGGAGACAGAAAAAGTACAGTGAACCCACATGACCCATCATGGCCTGATGTCACCCCTCTGCCCTTCCCCCGCGGCCAACCCTGCTTCCTCCAAGCTGCCTGCCCCCACCACCCCAAACAACTCCTTGCTACAAACCCCAGACATAATGGCACTTTCTAGCCAGCATTTCAGTACGTATCTCTCTGTCACTTTCTCTTAAATCTTTTCCACCTTTTTCACCGATTTTTTAATTTTTAAAAATTTCCTCCTTTTCACCTTCCATGTCTTGTAAAGCATAATCTATTGTGTTTATTTATTCTCGTTCCTTTAGCTTGACCTTCTTTTCTGAACTGTTTCCTTTCCTAATTCTTTCCTAGGTTCCCTCCCCTCTACTTTTGAGTGATGTTGTTCTTCTGTGGATTCTCCGTTTCTTTCTCTTGCAGCTACTTCTGTTTTGTGGACAGGTCTTTCTGGAAATCTCTGATCGACTGGAGAGATGTTATTCTGCTCCCTATTCTCTTTTTTCTTATGATAATTGTGTATGGGATTCAAACATCATTCTTTTACATTCTTTCTAATTGAAAGAGCTCTGGAGGCCGGTGGTGTGATGGGGTGGGGGGTGAACACTTTCCATCGTCTCATGGCTCTAGGGCTCCCTCTTCTGCTGTGTTTGTGAAGTGCCTGCAAAGTTGGCCTCTTCCTTGGACGGTTGGCTCTGCCCCTCCCACAGTGTTACCTGGATCGTCTCCCTCCTTTGCCCCTGATTCCCGTCCAGTGAATTTGGGGTTCACTCCCATGCGTTTCTGCTCAGTGGGTCCTGCCCTGAGAGTCCCTGGAAGGTCGGTTACAAGAGGTCGTAGTAGCTGTCAGGGGTTTGCCCGCCCACTTGCCCTCTGGGGCCTGGATACGCCCTTGTGGATGTAGGTTTTTGTAGATGGTTTTTGTCTGTGGTTTGTGTTTTGCTCTCCCAGCTGCTCTGTATTTTTGTCAGAGGGGATTTGGAAGAGGTTACATAGGCTTCCAGGGCAGTCTTCTCCAGGATTCTGAACAATACTTTTTTTTTTTCCAATTACTTATTTGTTTTTGAACATAATGTATTGAGGTGAAGGTCACTTAACATGAAATTAGCTGTTGTTAAGTGAATAATTCAGTGGCATTACATTCCTGGCGCCCCGTGTTTGGGTGGCTCCGGGGTAACCCCTTCCCGTTGGTCACTCTCTGCCTCTCCCTCACAGCCCCCAACCTTCTTTCTGTCTAGTTCTGGGGTTATCAGCGAAGTACAGCTAATACTACTTTTCGTGTGAGGAGCTCACGGTCTGCAAGGATCTGGAAGCCCAAGCACGTGTGTCACACGCGCTGGTCCCAGGCCATCATGGGAGCTGCACGACCTGCGCTCATGCCCACACTTCAAGGCACAGTCACCTCTTTCCTGTGAGGACGTATTTCAGGGCAGACAGAGGACTTGCTTCTCTCACCTCTAAGTTGTAAAATCTCTCTCAAGACAACAGTGCTCTGATCCTCGACCAGAAAAAGGGTTTTCAAACTGCTGGAAGTCACGGACTATTTTTTTCACCCTAAAATTTGTTTATTGAAAGAGGATGCATAGATGGCCTGCTTCAAAATCTATTTGATTTTTCTTATAGTGGTAAAATATATGTAACATAATAATTGCTGTTCTAACCATTTTTAAGTGTACAATTCAGTGGCATTAATTACATTCACGATCTTGTGCATCCATTTCCTCTATTTCCAAATTGTTTATCGCTGCAAATAGAAACTCTGAACCCATTAAGCAATAGGTCCCGGTGCCCCCCCCACACACCCATGAAGTCACAGAATATTTTAAATTATATATATATTAGTATTTGATTAAGAGCTAAACTATTATGATAAAAATAGTTTGAAAGGTAATAAAAGTCATAGTAAGTCATAGTAATTGTGGAGAGCTAGTCAGAATTAATCATAATATAAGACAATATTAAGTAGAGGGGATTGTCATTTTTACCTCTGTTTCATTATCTGGGCAAAAGAAAACAGTAGAAAGTATTTTGCCTCAGGTGGCAGAGTTCAGATGACTTCTTAATTGTCTGGGTTTCATTTAAAAACACCACTGTGCAAGCATGAGGAAGAGTGGATACACTGCAGCTGGGGGGCTGGGGACACTGGGCACAGAGGTGTCTTCTCACAGATGAAAAACTATGGGAAGAAACCCTTTCTTTGGCATCATCACCAGACAAGCTTGAGTCAAGGTCTGGGCCTCACGACCTCCTGCGGGTCACCCACTGCGCCTGGCCCTGTTGAGGTCTTTTTCTTCAAAACAAGTCTTTTTTCCGTGGTAAGGTGCCTTCTCAGCTTGCAGCCCAGTGAGGGTGGGGTCGGGAGGTGAGCTCTGGAGGACAGACTGGGTCCTGTCCCCGGAGATCCTGGAGCCGCCGCCCTGTGCCCCTCGTGTGGGTGGAGCCCGAGCCGCCACCAGACACATGGCAGGGCTGGTCGCTGGCCCAGCTGTGGTGCCAGGTCTCAGAAAGTCTTTACAATATAAAATGAGAGCCTCCAGTGTGAGAAAAGGGGAAATGGTACAGACTCAATGTCTCCTCCCAGTGGTCTGTCCCTGGTGGGAGGTGACTTTATGGGAGTCAGGCGGGATTGGGCCCCGGGGAGTGAGGTTACCTATGGGCGTGGTTTTCCTCCACTTCATGGAGGGAATTTGTTCTCTTAACTGAACATACGGGAGTGGCTGATCCTGCCTGAAAGGCAAGGCCTGACGAGACAGGACACTAGATCTGGATGTGATTGTGTGTGTGGCCAAGAGGGACAGTGCTATGACCCCCACAATGAGTCAGGCTCGGCCCGCCTGCAGCCACTTTCCTGTGTCTGATGGCCACAGCGTCTACCCCCGATGCTGGGGGCTTACTCCCGAGGACCCCTTTCCAAAGACGTTGCTTAGCAGTCACTTCCTCCACAGGGATGACGTTTCCATCTTTGTCATCATGGCAGCTAGCGATAAAGCTTTTCTTCTTATTATTTTTAAAATTTATTTTTGGCTGCGTTGGGTCTCCATTGCTGCCTGTGCGGGCTTTCTCTAGTTGCGGCAAGCGGGGGCTACTCTTCTTTGCGGTGCCCGGGCTTCTCATTGCAGTGGCTTCTCTTGTTGCGGAACACGAGCTCTAGGCACACGTGCTCAGTAGTTGTGGCTCGTGGACTCCAGGGCACAGGCTCAGTAGTTTTGGTGCACAGGCTTAGTTGCCCTGCAGCATGTGGAATCTTTGTTCCCTGACCGGGGATCGAACCCATGTTCCCTGCATTGGCAGGTGGATGCTTAACCACTGCACCACCAGGGAAGTCCCAAGAAAGGTTTTTTTGTTTTGTTTTGTTTTGGTTTTTTTTTTGTGGTATGCGGGCCTCTCGCTGTTGTGGCCTCTCCCGTTGCGGAGCACAGCCTCCGGATGCGCAGGCTCAGCGGCCGTGGCTCACGGGCCCAGCCGCTCCGCGGCACGTGGGATCCTCCCGGACCAGGGCACGAACCCGTGTCCCCTGCATCGGCAGGCGGACTCTCAACCACTGCGCCACCAGGGAAGCCCCCAAGAAAGGTTTTTAAAGGCAGATTTATTTGATGAGGCATTTTTTTTTCCTCCAAACATTGGGCATTCCCAGTTGGAGTCACTTTGTTTTTATTTGTGACTGAATGATGCTGGTTTCATGAGCCACCAGACCCGTCCGAGTTCTTGCTGGTAAGTGTCCCTGAAAAGAGAGAACTGGGAGGTCTGCCCCCCCGACCCCTGCATCTGGGACTTTCTGGGGCCTGGGAGGTGAGATGGTCAGAGTGTGGCTTCGACTCTAGTCAGCACGTCCTTCCTTTTCCAGGCCAAAAACCTCTGCAGCATCAGCCACCCAGGGATGACACTGAATGGAGCAAACCCGCTGGAGGCGGGTTTGCAGTTCGCTTCAAGGAAAAACCCGACTGCTGGGTGAGAACTGAGCCTTGGTGTTTCTGACTTGGAGAAATTCTCTCCACACAGATCTCTCCAAGGCCCTGGTTCTGACAGAAATCGGGCCCAGACGAGACCCCACGACACTGAAGCTGTTCCTGAGCAACATGGAGAGGCTGCTCCGTGCTGGGGCCCATGGGTATGCGCTCCCCTCCCGGGACTGGGACCCATGGGTGCATGCTCCCCCTCCTCAAGACCCACAGGATGCCCAGGCCCCACGAACAGCTCCCAGGCTGCTCCCCGGGGCAGGAGCAGTGACACGCGAGCCAGCCCGGTCCCCAGCCGGGAGCTCGTGCAGCCCGTGGGGGTGAGGTGGCAGGGGACCTGTGGGAGCCCATCTCAGCCCCGTGTGCACCCAGAGCTCAGCGCCCTTCGTGATGACAGTGATGCCCCCCCAGCCCAGTCTCCCCCGGGTCTGCGCTGTGACTGCGGCCACCCCAGATGGTTTACATCTAAGGTCGTTGAAGGTCCACAGAATGAAGGTTGTGTCCTTCAGTTGCACCAGCCACACTTCAAGTGCCACGGCCTTGGGCTGGTGGCTTTGCGGCGCCGAGTGGTCCATCACCACAGAAAGTTCTATTGGATGGCATGGCTCTGGGCCCAGGGCTCAGAATTGAGCTTTTGGGAAGAGGCCCTGGGCTCTTGTTTAGCTCCTGGGGGTGCCTGCGGTGGAGGGGGCGGGCACTGGAGCAGAGCCATTCAGTGTGTTTCCCTTCCTCCATCTCCGCCAGGGTCCGAGTCATCGGCAGCTCTACCTTGGCACTCTGCCACCTGGCCTCGGGCGCCGCCGACGCCTACTACCAGTTTGGCCTGCACTGTTGGGACCTGGCTGCAGCCACTGTCATCATCAGGGAAGCAGGCGGCGTCGTGATGGACACGTCAGGTGAGCTCGGGCCCTCAGCCCGCCCTCTGTCCCCAGGGGTACATCCCCAGGACAGACCCGCAATGCCCCAGACAGGCAGGCCCCCTCCTCTGCTAACAGGGACATGTAGGGAGGGCAGTGGGCCAGGCCAGAAGGCCCCTCCCCATTCCTGCCTCCAGGTGTGAAAATAGACCCAGGGTCAGGACGGGTGGCTATGAGTGTTTTCTAAACACTCACTTCCCCGCCGCACCCCCCGATAAGGCTAAATGATGACGGCAACAACAACAAAAACGCCCCCCCCCGCCCCCACACACACACACAGTCCACTGAGACCACAGAGCAGGCAGCCTGCTCCCTGATCCAATGACGAAGATTTAGGTGATGGATCCTAGAGGTGACCTGTTCCTCTGCCTCAGAGTCACCGTGCCCAGTTACCGACCCCATGGGGACGAGTCCCGCAGCGTCCCTGTCCCAGGGACGCCCATGGAGCCTCATCTGGCATTGGGGTCCTCTATGGAGCCCATCCTCCCCCAGCTTTAATCCAGAGCCTGTTGCGGAAACACTGGGCTCCGTTTAACTGCTGGCGCTGGCGGTGGGCCCTTCATCCCATGATTGCTCCGTTTTTGCTCCTCCTCGGGACGGCCTAGTTGAGCTTCTGGGAGGGTGTGAAGTGAAGAGGGGTCAGCCTTGGGCATCGAGGCCAGGCAGGCCCGTCCCCGTTAAAGACATGTCTGTCCTGGATGTGACCACGCGTGCACGTACACACACACACACACACACGCACACACATGCACACACGCACGCATGTGCACTGAGGTCTCCAGCGAGGCCTTTAGGCCTGTTCACACCTCCAGGAGGTCGAGGGCCTTCATCCTGCCCCAGATACCTGGTGCACAGAGCGGCCTCATCGAGGGGCCCAGCAGAAAGGCCACCCCCAGCACCCCCCCACCAAGGCCTCCTGGGTCCCTGGAGGCCCGTGCAACGCAGAGTTTGAGAACTGCCCCCTGTCCTGACCTAACATTGTTTGAGCCTCGGGCCGGAACGCTGTACCTTAAGCCGCTTTCTCCCAGCGCAGCCTCAGGAGGTGCCGGTCCTGGATGGCACCCAGGTTGGGGCAGAGCGGGGCTGAGGCTCCGCCCTTTGGGCTGGCTCAGCCTGAGTGCTGGGCTGATGGGGGTCGTGCCGCCCCTTCCCTAACCCAGACACCCTGTCCCTCTGTCCACAGGCGGGCCGCTAGACCTCATGTCTTGCAGGGTGGTTGCTGCAGGCACACGGGAAATGGCGGTGCTCATAGCTCAGGCCCTACAGACGATTAACTACGGGCGGGACGATGAGAGGTGAGGGGAGCAGACAGGGCTGCCCCAGGATGGGGCCTGCCTGGGAACCTGGAGCAAGAGTTCCTGATCCCCAAAAGAGCCATCAGGCTGGAGTCCGGGCTGTCTGGCTGAGCCCACGTCTTGGTGACTTTGGTGTCCAGTGGTTCCTCTCTGTAATCTCACGTAGCCTTGTGTGGGTTGGTCCAGCCCTCCTACCGGGGCCAAAACCTGGATCTCACAGGATGTATGTATTGATACTGCAATTGCAATTTTTTTTTCCAGGATGCAAATCTCAGGTAATAAGGCTTTCGAACTGCTGATAAAGCAGACTTGCTCTCAGCAACCTCCCCCGCCTCTGCCCATGGTACTTCAGAATGCAATAAACCAAATGATGACTCTCTGCTTGTTTCCCTCCACAAGTGTGTCGCCTATTTCCCCAAACGACCCCCAAAATCCACAGGCTCTTTAGGGAAGTTTGCATATGACAGCCCAGAGGTGACATGCTTGCTATCTGCCTGCCGCGGGTGATGAAAACGACTTCAGTAATTATCACGTCAGTATTTAAAATCCGAGACGTGGGTCAGACTGAAGAAAACCAAACCTCTAAAATGCTATGTTTAAATGTTTTTGTGATCAGTTTAACGACGAAAATTATTTTCTGGGCCTTATTTTTTTCCTCTTTAGGAGGAGGAATTATATATAAGAATAATTCTAATGAGGATATTCACTGGCTGGCTACAGGTCTTTTCTGAAGTTTAAAAATCGAGAAAGTCAGTCTTAGGACAGAGGAAATTCCAGCCCACGCTTAGCTTTCTCCCTCGTGTTCCTAATTTGCAGTCAACAATAATTAAAGAGTATTTAGGGGCTTCCCTGGTGGCGCAGTGGTTGAGAGTCCACCTGCCGATGCAGGGGACACGGGTTTGTGCCCCGGTCTGGGAGAATCCTACGTGCCTCGGAGCGGCTGGGCCCGTGAGCCATGGCCGCTGAGCCTGCGCGTCTGGAGCCTGTGCTC